GCTTCGGATGTTCCTTCAGAGAAGAAGATAATTTACTTTCTAGTCCAAACCTCCCGCAGGACGACGGGGCAGGGGAGCGGTCAGGGTTTGAACCCGGGACCATCGATAAGTCCAAACGACAGTCTGCACGACCATACAATAAGCTAAGTAGTGTAGGAATTTCGACGTGACACCAGTGAATATATTCTATGTGACGTGACAACATTGAATGTTGTCAGTGTGACGTGAAGAATATAAGCCTATTATATAGCGTTATTTGAGTGAGAGTTGGTCATGTAACATGACACAAGTGTTGACCTAAGTGTTGGTCATGTGACGTGACAAAAGTATCCTATGTGTTGGTCATGTGACGTGACAAAAGTATCCTAAGTGTTGGTTTTGTGACGTGACACAAGTGAATATGGGAAAGGTTATATGACGTGATTTGAGTGAGTGTTACGTGACGTCACACAAATGAGTGTTGGCTATATGTGACGTGACTCTAGTGAATGCATGAAAGATGTGACACATGTGAGTGTTGGTTTTGTGACGTGACATACGTGAGTGCTGGCTATGTGATGTGACATCAGATGTAGGATAGAATTTATAAAATAAAACACCAGTTGGTATAGTTTACATAACGAAACAAAGAATAGTTAGTGTAGGCTATCTGACGTGACATCAGCTAGTGTAGGCTATTTGACGTGACGCCGAAGATAATAGCTAATGTGATTTAATACAAATGAATGTTATAAAATACTGAAGCAAACGACACTTCTACCTTGATGAGGTTAGGATTATTCTTGGCCTGTGGTTGATCATCCGCTCGGATACAAGCCCAGGGCAGGCCTCCTTGTGTAAATGGAGGTCCTAGGCAAAGGGAATAAGGTGACCCCAAAATGAAATAGAAAAACAAAAATTAAGATAGCAAAATACGCAATGAATTATAAATCGTCCTGTATCTATATCTAAATTAACAAATAATTTAAATTCACATAGAACCAAGTCTTGAAGCTTGGCATAAGCAAACTAGGCAGTCGTCTAGGGCCTTTGATAGGTGGGGGCCTCGCACAGGACTCAAAGAAATATTTTTTTATAGAAAACAAAATGTGAAAGATGGATCAAATCTAAAAACTAGCAGAATTCTGATGGCTACTAGCCTAGCTCTAAGTCACTATAGACTGTCTCTAAGATAAAAGTAATTCAGACACTCTAGCGTTCGCTATAGACTGTCTCTAAGATAAAAGTAATTCAAAGACACTCTAGCGTTCGATATAGACTGTCTCTAAGATAAAAGTAATTCAAAGACACTCTAGCGTTCGCTATAGACTTTCTCTAAGATAAAAGTATTCAAAGACACTCTAGCGTTCGCTAAAGACTGTCTCTAAGATAAAAGTAATTCAAAGACACTCTAGCGTTCGCTATAGACTGTCTCTAAGATAAAAGTAATTCAAAGACACTCTAGCGTTCGCTATAGACTTTCTCTAAGATAAAAGTAATTCAAAGACACTCTAGCGTTCGCTATAGACTGTCTCTAAGATAAAAGTAATTCAAAGACACTCTAGCGTTCGCTATAGACTTTCTCTAAGATAAAAGTAATTCAAAGACACTCTAGCGTTCGCTATAGACTTTCTCTTAGATAAAAGTATTCAAAGACACTCTAGCGTTCGCTATAGACTTTCTCTAAGATAAAAGTATTCAAAGACACTCTAGCGTTCGCTATAGACTGTCTCTAAGATAATAGTAATTCAAAGACACTCTAGCGTTCGCTATAGACTGTCTCTAAGATAAAAGTAATTCAAAGACACTCTAGCGTTCGCTATAGACTGTCTCTAAGATAAAAGTAATTCAAAGACACTCTAGCGTTCGCTATAGACTGTCTCTAAGATAAAAGTAATTCAAAGACACTCTAGCGTTCGCTATAGACTGTCTCTAAGATAAAAGTAATTCAAAGACACTCTAGCGTTCGCTATAGACTGTCTCTAAGATAAAAGTAATTCAAAGACACTCTAGCGTTAACTATAGACTTGTCTCTAAAAAGAATACAGAGTACCACCGAGCACTGTGACGTCAGTGTGGAAACAATAGCGAGAGACTCTCTGTATAGAGACAGAAAAAGAGACATGGTAATTCATACAGGCTCCAGCTTGTAAACGAACATTTCGGGCACAAAGAGGCATCAGAGCCTCACGTGAAGTCAATGTAGTTAAGTGTAAGTGTATAGTTTCATAGTCAAATTTGTTTTCATATTTTGATTTCAAGCAATGCACAACATACGTGCAGCTACATACTTGAGATAGGATGGCTATAGCCATGTGACTATTAATTTCCTTCGAACCGGTAAGTCAAATATTCGCACATCCTTAATATGTTATGGAAAAGCTAATTCGAGGTTTTAAATATTTGAAACAAAATCTTTTATGAATAAAACAAAAATCTACACATTCTTGCTCAATTTAGATCTACATCTGATGAAAAAGTTTTAAGTTTGTTTCATTCTTGTAAGTGCCATGTCAACAAACAAACAAAAAATGAAAATCAGCGAAAAAAAAATCTGTTCGAATCCGTAGACATGTAATGTTTGAATCTATGAATATAAAATCCGTAAATCCATATACTCTTTTTTATTTCGAGAACTTTGATCTAGAATAAGAATAATTTTTTTAAAAGTCATAGGCAGGGGCTACCTCCATACATTCTCAACCAAACTTCAGTAAAAAATATGCTTAATTTAAGCTATGATGAAAGACATAAAAATAATAATAATAACAATTCGCCTCTGAACAGAAAATAACAGAATGAGACATGTTAATTGTATATATCGCATGCCCTTGTGGAGTGACTGAAAATTTGATCTATCGAAACATGCCCATATGGAGTATCTGAACATTAGATCTAGCAAAACATGCTCATGTGGAGTGTCTGAAAATTGCAGGATCTAGCAAAACATGCTCATGTGGAGTGTCTGAAAATTGGATCTAGCAAAACATGCTCACGTGGAGTGTCTGAAAATTGGATCTAGCAAAACAGGCCCATTTGGAGTGTCGCATGAGATCGCAAACCATGCCATCCAAATCTTCATACTTTATCCAGAGGCTCAAACAAGGTAATGGCCCCAAAAACCATTATGGACGAAAAACTGTATGGAGAACTGCCTGATTTGGAAACCACCTCCAACATAATAGGCCTAAATAAGAACACAGCAGAAGAACAAATAGGGACATCTGTTTAACCCAAGGATTAACTCTTGTATTTACCGTGTTAACCCTCTACTATTCCACTTGACTATCTACTAATTAAGAAAGGCTAGAAACGCTTACATGTATCCACGCGTAATTGATGAGTAGATAACTTATTGTATATATGAAGGAAAACAAATTAAACTATTATTAGCCTATAACATATACATAAAATGTAAATATAGTTATGCCTTCGTAACATAAGAAAATACAATAACTATAGAAAACCATGCTGGACTAAAGTACAAGCAAAAGACGTTTGGGACACAAGGCCATCTTCGTTTTTTTTTATTTTTTATTTTACTTGTTCAAATCTACGTAACATTAGAATACATTTAAACTGTGCAAAACTTAAATCTTGTAGAGAAAAACCAAGCATACTTAACACGGCCCAAGTCGATCGATAATTTCAGCCGCGCCCATCCGGTATTTTCCACCAACGCAGTGTGCTCGCTATTTTCTTCTCGTTATAGGCTACTTTAGATTTCTGACTTCTTCTTGCAGTTTCTCTTGTGACAAATGGATATTAAAGTCTTGTCTATATTTTAGTATTTGGTGATCCAAAGATCTAGATTTACACCTTTTTTTTTTCGGAATACTATCAACCCTACATCTCAAGTCTAGACTCCAGATCTAGATCTAAATAAATTGGGTCTCGAATAACAAATAAATAAAAAATTAAGACATGGCATATTTAAAAAAAGTCTGGATTTAGAAAGATTTAGGGCTATATGTCTTCTTTAGTGTCTGTGTCTGTTTGTAATAGACTACTGTTCATGGACCTTATAGGCCCACTGATCAAATAATGAAAATGTTAACTTATAAAATAATCTAAGTCTAGTCTTGTAGGCCTATACTCATATAGTCCTATAGTCTATCAAATCCCAGATCTTAAAATGAAATAGTCTAGGCCTAGGGCCTAGTTGCGAAAAAGAGAAACGAATACTTAGCATCTAGATCTAGATATCTAGATCCACCTGTCACGACCTGTGACTTATGGGGGCTTTTAAAAAGAATGGGCGAAAACTTACATCTATAATCTACGTCTCGATCTAACATTTTTTTTCCCAAGTCAAAACGGAACCCCAATCGTTATAGATCAAGCCATCGGCGTAGTCAGGACATTTTTTTTCGGGATAGGGGTGGGTAATCATTTTTAAATTTATCTTCTTTTCGCTGTACACACACACACACATAAATAATAGTGTGTAAAATATGTGTTTGGGGTGAACCCCTGCCTCTAGGCTACGCCCATGTCCTATTCCATGTTGAATAACTCGTAGGCGTCACTGGTTTATTACCTCGCAAAATTAAAACTTATTAAACATTTTTTCTTCATTGCCCTACAGAGATGTATAGCGGTTGGTTTCCAAAGCGAAGTGTCTCGGGTTCGAATCCTGGAATTTTGAATTTCAGGATTCCTTAAGTTGCCTCCAATGTGAAGAGATGAGCCGGAGTCTTTAAACTCTAGTCTAGCATATCGAACAAGAGTTCACTCTGCCAGCCCGCCTGAACAATGGAGTTGTGTTTTGAAACGGTTCATTGAGAAAAGTCGTGTGAAAAGTTGACGTGGTATTTGAAGGGGCTCTCTTCGCCTGCGGGACTCGTATTGGAAACTTTTGGGCTTGTTGTTTCCTCTTACAGCAATTGAGGCTAGATCTATAGCCTGGCTGATTGTTGTGCAGGTCATATTATGATACCTTCGTAACCGTGGGCCACAGAAACAGATTACCTTTATTTACACCATCTGCTGTGATATATAAGACTAGCTATTATAGATATATAACCTGTCTTAGTTGAGGATCTAGATCTAGTTTATATAGATCTGTATGAGGCAAATTGATTCTAGTAAATAGAAATTTAGATTCTAGATAGGCCAATAAAATTGTATATCTAATCAAAATACGCATATGGCACGCATAATTCCTTTAACTGACATAGAAGAGAGCACCTGGTTACAGGCGGCTTCGGAAAAAGACAGCTAGAAATCTTTTGCTGAGGCCTAGGGATACACATTTGAGGTCAAAATAAATCCACTGAGGGGACAGACGTAGACGGGTGAAAAGAAATTACAGATCGACTACCGGCGGACAAAGTATCTGTCTGCTCTAGAGTATGGCAATATATGTGGGTCGCAGCTGGGGCACCTAGTCCCATGAAATACTGCACTCTTCATTAACTCTGGACTCAAAAACAAGTCTTATTATTAGATGTTATATAAATTATTACGGACTCACTACTCACACTCATGACGTCCATAAACATTCAATCGTATTGATTGTGAACCCTATATAGATCTATAGGCCCTATTCTAGATTTAGAGTGACTTTTCTTATAGATTACAGACGTTACTTCAAAAGAGATAATTACTTCTGCCGCATTTTATGTATCAGTCTAGTTATGCATGTTAATCATTTCCACCAATCAGTGCTAAATCTTTGTGTTTTTTTTTTATGGTTGATTCAAGCAACCCGCTCCATGGTCTAAAGGTAGGCCTATTAGGGAAGAAGGAGCATTTATATGAATTTGCAACAACTTATACAGACATATGAAATAAGAAATGTGTCTTTATCTTTGTGTCTTTCTGAGTACTTTTTTTTTATTTGGTTTTGTTTGATCGCAAAATTATAACTTATTAAACTATTTTTTTCTATACAATATTCTTTTTTTTTTTTTTGTATACTTATTTTTTATGTGCAGCTAGATTATCTTGATTAGATCATGATTAGATCTCATTGCGTTTGTTGTTTCGTAGACCAACTTGTAGCTCTATACATCTAGGACATAGACTTATATATACTATAATATATATATATATAAGTCTATGATCTAGGTTCTCTAGATTTTCTATTGGTTATTCTTTTATGAAATGAACAAAAACTAAAATCAGGAGTTATCTTTCTTGCCAGTGACGAAACGAACTGGCTTAGGTTCGATAACTAGATATATCTAGAGTCTTGTCAAAATAATAGAGATAGAAAGTAATCACTAATGTAGTCGCTGTGCTGTGGCCGCGTGAAACATCTGTATTTTTTAAATTGGGGATCTAGATCTATACCATTATCTTTCTCTCTACTACTACTACTAGACGGTAAACTAGACTAGAGTTAGACTGACTACTCAGTCACTACTCATACTAGATCTACTCAGTCTCTAGTCTACTGATAGCACTTTTAATAGCAGTAATAGTGATAGACCCTATTTAGCTATTTTTATATTATGCCGACATGGCAGGCTCTGCTTTGAAGAGATTAATGGCAGAGTATAAACGTAAGTACTAGATCTAGATTCTAAGCTTAGTAGATTATATATTTTATGTCACGATTAGGAATTAATATCTTCAATCTAGTAATTTGTTTCATTATTCGTAATCATAGAATTTAGAAAGGAAAAGTTTTGATTTACTTGATTTACTTATTTAGACTTAGAATCTAGAGACAATGACATAGAAAAGAACAAGGCTAGGATTTTAGGAGGAATAGCGAACTGTAAACAGACTACTTTGGACGCTTAATAGAGAGTGGCAGGTTTTTAGGAACGTACAGATTTAGCTTAATGACTTTCGATAGTTCCCATTGTAAGTATAAAACTTCTAATTCAACATTCACTATTAGCGTTGACTAGATTTTATTGTTGGCGTTTCACCCGTGTTATTGATTTTATTTTAGAGTTACCTCTGTGTGACTTATCTGCATAAGACACAGCGCAGAAGTGCCTAACATAGACATAGTGCTGATTTTCTACTGTTTTGTATGTTTATTCAGAATTGATGATTATTAATGTTTAATTTTATCTTCCTCGTGCTTAGCCCAAACCTCTAGCAGGGGAGGCAGTGCCAGTGGTTCAAAATCAAGATCATCAAAGTGACAATCCAGAGCGCATACCACATTACCATCCATCTACTTTGTTTCTGTTTCCAAAAAGAACAGTAAAAAAATCAAAGTCTAGGTCTCTATATTTTAATTTAGATCTAGATTATTATCATATATTATATCTAAAGAAGAACATTTTAATCACATCATCTATCACACACAGCAGCTCGACCACTTGAAATATTAGATATTTAGTAAAGCATATTTCCTTCTACGTTAATAGGCGTTGTAAGTCTTAAAAGGAGAACAATTTTTTCTTTAAAATTCTTTATTCTGTCTTCATAAACTGTCAGTTTCCAGTATATTTCATCTGATTATTTCATCCCCTTGTCATTTCATCCTTTGATTTTTTATCTATCAAATAATAATTTAAAAAAATTATGAAATCAGCAATATTTAAAATATTTATTTTTATTTACATGACAAAATCTATGATACGTTAAATATAATTCAATGTAAAAAAAACAACAACAGAAACACTAAATAATCAATTCATGTTTGATGTTGGAGGTGGCAAGAATATTAAGAATAACACAGTGCAGTATGATGATAGAAAATGGGGTATCATTAACATATAATATCTACAATAACACATTTTGATCAGATGTACTATTATAAGAAGGCCCACAGAAATGCTTCAAAGACCAGCTTAGGCGCCAACTTGCTTTAGCTGACATAGAAGAGAGCACCTGATTGCATGCGGCCTTAGAACGAGATAGCTGGAGGTCACTCACAAAGGTGCAGGATACACATTTGAGACCAAAAGAAAGTCCGCTGTCGAGGACGGACGCAGACGACAAAAAGAAAATCTAAATTGACCACCTACGGATAATAGTTATGCTTGCCCTGGGTGTGGCAAAATATGTAGGTCACAGCTGAGGTTGCGCAGCCACGGGAAATACTGCATTCCTCACTAATCTTCGGACTCGAAGACAAGCCTTATTATTATTATTATTATTATTATGTTAGAAATGAACAAGAAGTCATTCTCTGGCGCTGCCAGGGTCGAGTTTTGCTAAAGAGAAACAAAATTCATCATAGTCCCTTTAACAGTTTCCACTGAGGAATTTCCTGGTGATGTGCCAGGTCTGCAGCAGTACCGCCCTCTGACAGGCAACTTGGATGTTCCTAGGAATGTTAAGGGTTTTGAAGGTGTCTGTGAGGTCAGTTGTTATTATCCCCTCGGTTGATATAACAATGGGGTATATTGTTATTTTGGACAATTTCCATAGACGCTTAATCTCCAAGCCTAGGTTCCCATATTTTCTTTGTTTTTCTATCTCAGTTTTTCTTAAGCTATGAGACAGTGGTACGGCGATGTCAATAATGGTAGCGGTTTTTTATTTTTTATCAACGAACAGAAGATCCGGGCGATTGAAATCTACAGTTTTGTCGGTCAGAATAGGCCTATCCCAGTACAGCAGATGTTCAGTAGACTCGAGAACCTCTTGTGGCGAGTATTTATAATAAGGAGGAATGTCCTTACCGATCAAATTGTGCATCAAAGCCAAGTGTTGGTGTATTAACTTTGCAACTTGGTTATGGCGACCTAGGTAGGCTGATTGTGATTGTAAATTCCCAGGAACACACTCAACAGGTTAATGATAAGGATTTAATAATTAAATAAATAACACACACAAACCACAGAATGTCAGTTTGTTCTAGATCTAGTTTGATTCAGCAAAATAAGCTGGCAATTACTTTCATGTCTCCATTTTCTTCTCTTGTTCCACGCTCGTGTGGAACAGTGTCTAGCGCGCACCATGTATCTCAGTGCAGGAATAGAGTTACAACACTGCTCCCCCCTTCTCAGACCTGTTCGTCCCGAACAGAACCTGTACTGCCACAGTACTGATAAAGTCGATCCACATGGACGACCTTCAGCTTAGACCGGGGACTTTTCTGAATGCGGTACCTGACATCGTTGATTCTTTTAATGATGAGGTATGGACCTTTCCAGTCTCTCTGAAGCTTTGGAGACCTGCCCTTTCATCTCTGCGAATTGTACAGCCAAGCCAGATCGTCCTCATGGAACCCGGAGGCATTGGCCCATTTGTCGTATCTTGTCTTCATCTGGTCACTGTTCATCTTGATATTTCTGCGGGCCAGAGCATGGGCTTCCTCCATTTGTTTTCGGAGATTAGTGAGGTATTCTGTCGAAGTAACTGGCTTATCACCTGGAACCCTGAATAGCAAGTCACATGGTAATCGCAGTTCTCTGCCAAACAACATCTTCGCTGGTGTATAATTTGTGGTGCCATGAACACCATGAGGAACATTGGGATATAGGTGTCCCAGTCATCTTGTCGTTCACTGGCGACCTTCGTTAGGTGTTGTTCTAGAGTTCTGTTAAAGCGTTCCACCATTCCATCTGTTCGGGGGTGTAGAGGTGTGGTGCGAGTCTTTTCGATGCAGAGTGTCCAGCACATCTCCTGAAAGACTCTGGATTCAAAGTTTCGGCCATGGTCTGAGTGTAACTCAATTGGAGCACTGTACCGACTTATCCAGTTCTCTACAAGGATATCTGCTACTGTGGTGGCTTCTTGATTAGGTAGTGCATATGCTTCAGGCCATTTAGTAAAATAGTCGATAACTACCAAGATGAACTAATTCCTTTCTTGGTTTCAGGGAATGGCCCAGCAACATCGATTGTGATCCTTTCAAAGGGGTTCCCATTGTTGTATTGTTGCATATGTCCTCTTGTTCTACGTTCGTGTGGAACAGTGTGTAGTGTATGTTGGTATCATAAAGCAGATATTCAACAAAGCATACAAAAGTGGGAAAGATCTATATTTCGCTATACTCGAGTATAGAAATACTCTGATTAGCTGACTGTTTTATTCGCCATCACAATTGCTGATGAGTAGAAGACTCTGGGACATCATTCCAACTGATCCCAAACTATTGAAATCATCTGTAGCTGAAAATGCAGAGACATTACTCAACGAATGACAGATGAAAAGCAAAGTGAAATACGATGCAAATGCAAGGTTACCTAAAGATTACTCTGTCTGGGAGAAGGTGAGAGTTCGTCTAGGACAAACATGGCAGAAAGCAGTCATCATTAAGAAAAATCCATCACCCAGATCTTACATCATAAAGACAATGATGGAAAAACATACAGACGAAATCAACAGTTTTTAAACAAGAGCTACGAGAAGACATCTCTGGATACTATGATACCGACGAAGACAATGAACAGCAAACTGTTAGAACAAACGAAACAGACAATTATAAACCAACATCTAGAGAACTTGTTGTGCCGGTCAAGACAACCAGAAGTGGTCAAGTTGTCAAAATTCCTTGTAAATATAAGTCTTTAAGAAAGATGTGATAATAGATTCAAAAGGAAGGATGTGCTAATATTATATGATATTACGTCATTGTTTGTTGTTTATGTTTTGTGCGAAAGCAAAGGATTGGACAGAAATTATTATTATTATTATTATATATATATATATATATATATAATGTTATACTAGACTAAACTGACATATCTAGTCTTCTGTCAGCAGGGTTATATATTTTTCTGATTCTGCCCTTTCATTTCTGGGTTCCCCTCTGAAAGGTGAGGGCTTACCTTGTCTTGAAAGGCTGACCAAGGGAAAAAAAGGCTTTAAGTATTGAAAAGCAGAATGTGCTTGTTTTATTTATTGGGCTTTTAGAAGACTAAAATTTCTCTTCCATTTCATGTAAATGATGATGTACGTTTTTTTCTCCTCAGAATTAACATTGAATCCACCTGAAGGTATTATTGCTGGTCCAGTTGATGAAGAAAATTTTTTTGAATGGGAAGCTTTGATTATGTAACTATACCAATCATTTTTAGGTTTCATTTAAAATAAAGCAGTTTTAGTAAAACATTTAAAAAATTATTTTAAATACAGAAATAAAAGTATTTTGTATCTTTGCTGTTTTATTAGGGGACCACAGGACACATGCTTTGAAGGGGGAGTATTTCCAGCACGATTAACGTTTCCACCTGATTATCCTTTAAGTCCTCCTAAAATGAAGTTTAGCTGTGATATATTTCATCCAAATAGTAAGTTGTGATTATTTCACTATTGTAATTTTTTCATTTCTTAATTTGATTAGCTATTATTATAATGTCTTTTCCTTGGATTTTGCTTTGTAAAACATGTTGCATTGCCTGGAATAACTGTTTCATTTGCAAAGTAAATTCTCTCCTAACTTAATGTATAGTACATCTTCACTCA